ACGGAAACATCTCCTTGATATTTTTTTAACCCGTTTCTAGGACAGCGTGTAGATTAATTTAGGACTTCAAGGCCGAGATGTAATACCTAGGCTTAGATCTTAGGATACCTAGTTGCTAAGTTTAGGTCATTAAAATTTACGGCCGCCATTAATGACTTACTTTCACTAGGCTTTGTAACTTGTGGGGATTACTTTATATAGGTAGGGTCTTGTTTTCTTTCTTTGTTCTTACCTGGGCAGGTTAGAAATAAAATATGTAAGATATCTCTTGCTTTAATCAAACTATTTAGGTCTATTTAAAAAAACAATTATTATTATCATAACAGAACATATTTTTATTAAATAACTAGCTACTTGCGCGTGGTTTGACTCGTTCTGCTCAGCGCCTATTAATCATAGCGTGATATTTTAAAGCTTATAGCCTTCTTCGATAAATGGGCTATCCAACACAGAAATAATTATTCAAATCGGACCAGTACTTTCGGAGATTATCGCGTTCAAACAAACAAACAAAAAAACAAACTATTCTAAACTTTATAATATTAGTATAGAGTATAGATATACCACCAACTCTTAACACAATTTTCAATAATAATTTCAAACTCCAGGCTATTAGTATACTATATCTCACTAGCTGCAGACTACCTAACGGCTTGCCAGGGCTCTTGGCTCGGAACGGCGTACTTTTAGTCAATAAGAGTCTAGTACTCTCTCTCGCCACACCCAAGGCGGGAGAAGTCAATGGATGATTTTGTTTACTCAAAAAATGTCAATTACGCTAAGCCGGTAAACGAGCAGACGGATCACCTGATGGCAAGCAATCGGCGCCACCCATGGACACTCGAAACATCAAGAGGTTACAAGTGCGTTACCGGCCTTTTGGGAATGGGGAATTTGAGGATTGTGGAGGATTCGGGGATTCGGGAGACGGGGACTAGGGAGGGGGGTAATTGGGCCTCCGGTAACCTCACTCACATAACGAAACACAACGCAAGCTTGTTTCACGTCGGTTTTCTGTGAAGCCGTGGTATCACTTCGGTCACAATATAATTACGAAGAAGCAAAACGAGAAAGTACTTTTCGTATCGAACCCGACAGCAATTCGACCAACGAGTCATTAAAATAAAATGAACTAAGTAATAGAATTAATTAATTTCGAATCTTTCGCTGTACCTAGGTAGGTACTCAATACTGAACGTACATTTCTTACAATAAATTACTAGAATATAAAATGAAATGAAATAGTGAAATCAGATAGGCCATCTTTTTGTTTCTAATTAAATAGCTGTCTCATTTATAATTTAGTTTCACTTGACATTAGTAGATTGAAATAAAGATATACTTATTCAGCCTCTGGACAGAGTAATCTTCTTACACTGTCACTTAAACTAGTTTTGTGTCCATTACTAATTAGTTCGAACGTTAAATGACGACGTCACAAGTTTCTTTTGTGTACTTTGCAACTGGAAAATTAAAAATTACATTGTGTAGAATACTTACAATATGGATATAGGTAGGTACGTTCGTATGAATGGTAAAGGGTTAAATTTCATATTGGAAACCGTTGAAGGAAATATACTCCGTTAACGTACCTCACTGCTGACTCCGTAGCGTTTAACATTTTAAATTGATTTAAATATCTAAATAAATATTTATTAATTTGCAAATAGAACGTGAAACGAAGATCATTGTTACATGTATATGTCGTAGGATAATTTGATACTTCAGAAAGTCAGGATTTTTGTGAAAATACTCGTTACTATAGTAAGATTTGATGTGCTCAACACTTGATTGGCTACAATTTTGCTGGCTGACTTCTAATTGGTTCCTAGTTTGCCGATGATTAACTTCAAGTATTGTATCATAGAGTTATGAAGGTTTAGAATAGGTGAGAAAGGAAAATCACTAAATTGAATTTTATAAACTTTTTATTGAAAATTTTAGTATGTATGTTGTTTTCTACAGACAATAGGAAATCTCAGTCGTAGTAAAAAAAAATGATCCAATTTTAGGGTGTAATCCATAAATTGGATGAAACTGGTCGTTTAAGACGACGAAAAAACATTTAAGACGTCAACCAATCAGAGACGATCTCTTATTGAACGCGCTGACCGACCAATCAGCGTTCTTATTTCATAACAGCCAGCGTTTCGTTTCGCAATCTTACTATAGTAACGAGTATTTTCGCAAAAATCCTGACTTTGTCCAGTAAGATTTGATAATTTTTCGCCTATGTCTAATTATCCGCGTTTTCGCAAAACCCCTAGGATTTCCGCGAAGATTCGAAGTATCTAATTATCCTACGACATATATATTAACATAACTATTTTAGTAAGTAGTGGCCCCTCACTATAATGTATTATATAAGTTAGGTCTGCCTATCTGTCATACTCTGGTGTTTGTAAACGTCATGCGCTCTGCACATTATTGTAATAAAACCAAGTAAAATGAATCCGACTACGATTTATTAATCAACCAACATTCATGACGCCCTAAAATGGTGATAACGAAATCACTAAATGATTTTGATTTTGCTTAAGTCAAATTAATCTCATTAACCACTCGGACGATAGATACCGTCTAACAAACAAACAAACAAACACATAATAACGCAGTTACATAATCTTACTAAACCACCAACCATAAACGAATCAGTCAAAATATACCAAAGGTTAATAGTCACCCAATAAACGAGTATTCCCAGTAATCAGCCACTCGTCAAATAAGACGGACAGTCATAAACAGTCCGTACGTATCGTAGTTGGTAATCTGGCTGTAATCACAGCCATTTCCTAGATTACCAGACGTTCTATGAAATGATCAGTTGTTCAACGTAGCTACAACATGTTCGTGTTATATTTTTTTTTAACTAAATGTCATTGAACTCTGTAAAGGTTCATAGGTAAGGTGTCATATATTATTTAGGTTCTTTTGTAGACAGCCTTGATTTGTTTTTATTAGTTGACGTGAAGTTTTTAACAACTTATATTTGTGTAATTATGTTATTAGTGTCTTTGTTACTTTGGTAATTTTAATGAAAATGTAATTGAAAATAGATAAGTATTTTTATTTTGGTTTCAATGCGAACGAGATATTTTAGAGGGTAGATGTCAGTCGTGTCAAATACTGGGGTTTTGTAATTAATATACGCAACTAGCAACTATAACTTGTATTATCTGTGAGACCTACACCTTCTACAACTACAAAACTACTGTAAGAATCTAACTGGACCTTACAAATACTAATTACTAAAGATTAAATATTAATAGACCACAAAATATATGAATCACATCTCTACACTTAGCACTCGACTTTAAAAGCATTCACAAGCACCTTCTTCATTCCCCGTACCCCTTTACTGCTCACAATAAAAACCAAGTACGTGAAAATGCATTAGCGGATTGTCTGTAACTTGCAACGTGCTACATGCTACGTTACATGTTAGCGTAATCCTGTACGTGGCGCGTGTTACAGTGTCAAGTAGCAGCTCGTTCGTAATGGTTATTACACGATCAATGGTGCAATTAACTGGCTATTGTTGCAACGTGCTTAGAAGGTGTTAAATGTAATATGCTCTGCTATGTACAGAAGTCAATGGGTTACTGGAGTGTCTTTAAAGTAAAGATACAGATACTAACCTACAGTTGGATTTATATGTGTTTAAAATTTATTTTTTGAACTGACTTCAAAAACGGAGGTTTCATTTTGACCTGTTAGTATGTGTTATGGTCGTTTTTTTATTATATAAGAAGTATTTTAAAAATAGTACATGGATTGGTACATTTCAACTATAAATAAAGGTTAGGTTAATCTTTATTTTAAGATAAGACGTGACAGTTTCAGACACTTTTTGAGACAACCGTAAAATCTTATTCAGTTACTGAATTTATTTGCAATACGAAATAAATCTCAGAAAATATAATTTTCATTTTTCTTTACACGCAAAATACATTACAGCGAATGTATGAAAACAATTTAATTTCCCAATAATCGTATCACGGCACGCAATAGACATGAGCTAAATAAAATCGAGTATTAAATAAAAAGCCAATCATATGAACTGTCAATAAAGATATTATAACAAGACATAGGTGAACAAAATTACTGCTGGCTAAAGAAAAATTGCCCGTCTAGTGTCGTGAGAGAAAATAAATTCAATTTTCTAATGTCGAAATAAAACGCGATTTATTATTTCGTAATAACGTCATTTACCACGGATTGATTTATATCAGTCGACGAAATTTATTTTTTATATTTTTATCAGAAATATTTATTTATTTTTAAGTTTTTTGACAGTTTGATTGGATTAGTAGCTAAGACAAACAGAATAACTAATAAATATTAGACATGAGACAAATTTACGAAAATTAAATTGTGATTTAATAGTGAAGACGAAATTTTCCAAATATTTTATACAGAGCTCCTTTTAATTTTAAAGTAATTTTAAAGTTACGCAAAATTCGTGAGGACATATAGAGATCAAAAATATATAAGTCGTGGACAATGATTGCACTGGGCTGCGTGGACCTGGCGTATCGTGTGTCCCCAATGCTGCTAAGAATATGAGCCCCTAGCGTGGCTTGAAATTGTTCGAATTCTTTCGTCAAACAGTTACGTGACTAAGCCGTTAAACATAATATAATTAAGTATGTCTCACAACAGCTATAATACATTTGTATTGTAACTTTCGTGAGACATACTGAATAAATTATTACACTTTCAGCTTGGATTTCCGGGATTCAAACCCAACACCAACGCAGCTGCCGTCGGGCGAGTCTAGCGTGCCAACAATGTCACGCGCAGAGGGCGCGCTGGGCCCGCAGACTGCAGCGCGACAGTCGCCGCGTCGCAGGTCGCGAAATGTTGCTCATGACTATGAGCCTCTAGCATGGCTTGAAACTAGTCGAGTTCCTCGTCAAATTATTACGTGAGTTTAGCTATAATACACTTGGAAAGTCATACATAAAAATCATAAATACCTTCAACACTAGGTTTCTCACAGACGAAGTAGTTATGTTCCCTGCATCCTCTGTCGTTCCACATGAAGGTGGTGGCAGCTGGTGGTGGTCGTGGAGGGAACTCGCGACGGGCCTCCACGCAGTCCTGGCCTGATGTGCCGTCATCATTGGGCTGGCCACTGTGCTTTCTCCAGCCGGGAAACCAGTCTGAGGACAAGGTGATCACTGATCAGTTTAAGTAGAAACTTAAGATGATTAATACTTTTTTAACATATGGGAGATCTATACGAATACAACGGGAGGGCCTTTCTCAAATCCCCAAAAGGCAGGCAACGCACTTGTAACTTCTATAGTGCTGTAGTCTCGAAATCATACCATCAGGTACGTCCGTCTGTACGTTTGCCACTCTATACATATATTCCATTACAAAATTTATCGAGATTTTCTTGTACGTAGTGTTTTCTCACATTGCTTTTCATGAGTATATTGTACACATATGTCAATTTTAGTACATCTTACGATAGTTATAAAAGGTTATTTTTGAATACAGATAAAGTTAGTTTTTATGCGATGAAATACTAAAGGGAATAAAATAATAAAATGTGTGTTCAATTAAAAGCATTTTCGCTATTATAGCAATATCATTTGATTTGATTCGCTACAAATAGAAAATAAAAGAAAACTGATACAATTGATCATTAAAAATAAATAATGATATTAAAGAAACATCAGATCACAAACAACACACTGCATAGTAATTTGAATTCCATTTTTCAAATAACGAACGTGCGTTTAACAAACGCTAGTAAAGGCTACATCAAACTGAAACAAACCTTCAATACATTTGCAACTTTGTAATCAAATAACAAGATTGAAAATCAAACAAACATGAGATATAACTTGATATCTTTCACAGATCTTTCGTTTCCGTTGTACCTATTTAGTAGGTAAGCAGCAATGACTAGGTACTCCTAGGTAGTCTAGGTACAGACAGTAATTTATTTATTTATTTATTTATACCTTATTGCACACACAGAAAAAAATTATAAACATTGCAATAGTAATTTGAGTACAATTGGCGGTCTTATCACACGCGGCGATTTCTTCCAGACAACCTTTGGATGGAATTTTTTAAAAGAATCTGGGAATGGGTGGTAGATGCACAATAAAATAAATATTTTTTTAATAAAATAAGTAATTTAATTGATACCTAGTACATTGCACATCGAACTTTGGCGCTAACCAATGTTGTGTGTTATTTTTATAGAGGTATATAGAATAGAATTAGGCGTTGCTTTGCGGAAATCCATGCCGCACTAATAACTGTAGCATGATTGTGTTGTATTCAAATGGAGGGAGCTGCCGAGTCAACAACATATGACAAGAGTGGTTCGAGTCGTTTGTTGCGTGTCGTGTCGTATCTCTGCTGCCTCGTTGACCGAGTGGTCGCAAGTGCGACTGCCGGGTAAGGGGTCTCGGGTTCCCGGGTCGGGCAAAGCATTACTAGGTTTTAAAAAAACCTCAGTAGTAGCACGGAGTCTGGCATTGTGCCCGGTATATGGCAATAGGCTTACCTATTACATGCGACTCATAACATAAATAGTGAAAAGTGAGTGTTACACTGTACAGTGGTATTAAGTGCTATAATGTGCACCTCTGTCAACCCTGGAATAAAAGGCTGTTATGTTATGTCTCTGCTGCATAAGCATTTACTTGCGGGTGGGAGGGCGGAACTACTACTGTATGTTGCTAAATTCATTTCTACAGCGGAATACAAACTTAATATTATCCCAGTTGTTTAAACTACATTTGTCAATCCTTACTAATATTATAAATCGGAAAGTGAGTTTGTTTGTTTGTTCCGCTTTCACGTCACAACTACTAAACTGATTGCTTTGAATTTTTGCAGATGTATAGTTAGAAGTCCGGATTAAATAATAGGGTACTTTTTATCCCGGAAAAATTGATATTCCCAAGGGGAAAACAAATGTATTGGTATAGATGGCGCTGTGAGTATTGGTATATGTCACATTGGCTTTTTATCCTTTTATGACGCGAGCGAAGCCGTGGGTAAAAGCTAGTATTTTAATAAAACTTTCTCTTTCATCCATTATTAATAAAATGTGGTCAAACATGCCATAAAATCTTTAATAAAAGACATAATAGGTGGCTGGTAACAAATTGTGATTATATAGGAAAAATGACGATCGTTGTGAATAAAATACATGGATCAATGAATGTTTAATACAATTACGGTGCATTATTAACGCTCGTCATTGTAATCAATGTGAATTTTACATCAGTAGCTGTCAGCTTATTTTGATATTATTTCGTGATTTGAATGTTTTATCACGTATTACGAAACATTTATTTCAAGTAAATCATATATACACAGTAAAATCTGTGTCGTTTTCTTCTCGAAGTAAAATGGTTCTGTCTTCGTAATACAATATGTTTCAAAGAAATGTTTATAACAAATAATATCTGGTGAACCATTGCAAAAAGTAAACTTCGAAAGTGCATACGAACTCATAGTACCTACATTTTTTTTAAACATCACGTCATGTAATTCTCGAAGAGGCATTTCTCGTCGGTGTCTACAAATTCAGTCCATCAGCGAAGCTAATGAATTATGTTTTTCTATGGTTAGTCAAATTGTTTAAATTTAGAGGAAAAATGTAGTAACTGGTATGAAACTTTTTTATTAATATTATAAAAATAAAGACTGCCTCATTGGCCGAGTGGTCGCAAGTGCGACTGCCGGGCAAGGGGTCTCGGGTTCGATTCCCGGGTCGGGCAAAGTATTACTGGGTTTTTAAAAATCTCAGTAGTAGCACGGAGTCTGGAAAAATGTGCCCGGTATATGGCAATAGGCTCACCCCCTATTACATGGGACTCATAACATAAATAGTGAAAAGTGGGTGTTACATTGTACAGTGTCATTAAGTGCCGAAATGTGCACCTCTGCCTACCCCTTCGGGGATAAAAAGGCGTGATGTTATGTTATGTTATAAAAATAATATTTTATTTTTAGCTGAAAATGAAAATTTTTTAACATTATAGTTAAAAAATTTCATAGTAAAAAAAAAAATTTTTTAAACATTATTCTACAATTAGGGTAGATACTGTTACACACTGTACTGTTACATAGTGTACACATACTAATTTCAAGCATGAAAGCATGCTTCAATTGAGTAGTTGTCATTTAGTAGCATGTGTGTCGGAATGTTGTTCAACACTACCATGCTCATTTCTGGCATGCTTGCGAAAAGACAGGCGTTCGATTTTTGAAAATTTTTAGCATGCTAAATACAACGCCTTTTATTTTATTTTTTTTAATCATTTAAAGCATCTTTAACATTAATTTAGCGAATATGTTTGTTATTACCTTCTTTAGACGATTATCAATTTAAATGTACATGTAATATTTTTATCTATATAGAAATGTATGCATTATTAAGACTAAAACCTAGACAAAAAAAAGTATATTCCAAAGCTCATATTTTAGTTAAAACGTTTAGTGACAAGAGGGTAAGCAGAGTAATTTGCTGGAATAATTCACTAACGTAATTATGTACCGCGAACCGTTTTGCCTGTTTTCATGTGAATAAACAGAAATCATTGTCCAACACGCGATGTCATGGAATAGTGATGTGAATGTTCGACGAAATTGATCGTTTATAGATGTTAGATTGTCGATTTATAAGTTTCAACTTACATTAACTATAATGTTTGAGTTTGATATTTTTTTTTATGGCGTAAGCCGATAAATGAGCAGACGGATCACCTGATGGTAAGCAATCGGCGTCGCCCATGGACACCTGGAAGACCAGAGGCGTTACAAGTGCGTTACCGGCCTTGGGGGGATTGGGAGTTTGAGGATCGTTGAGGATTCAGGAATTGGGGAGATTGGGGAAGAGTAGGGTAATTGGGGCTCCAGTAACCTCACTCACACGACGAAACAAAACGCAAGCGTTGTTTCACGTCGGTTTTCTGTGAGGCCGTAGTATCACTCCGGTCGAGCCGGCCCATTCGTGACAAAGCATGGCTCTCCCACATTAAAAATTGTAAATCGTGAAATGGTAAATCGTCCTGTAATATTTTGATTTAATTTTAGAATGCGGTAATTTTTTGATCAATTGCTCATCTCCGCTGCCACATCTCCGCTCTCACAGTTGTTCACATTACACATCTGCAGTAATACTCACCCCGTTTGGTAAAAAATTGTGATGAATCACACCGGTGTTAGACCACCAAATCTTACTTATTTTTCTAAGGGTAAGTTTCTATTTAGGGCATTGTTATTATTGTTTATTGGTGAACCAGGATCCCACCAACATGCTAAGAACTGATGATTCAATCATTTTCGTCACACTAATCAATAAACAAATAACTACTTTTGGAAAAAATCTAAGTTTTTAAAACAAAATTAATTTAAAATTAGAATTTTTAATCAAATAAAAAATATTCTGATTTAAAAAGGCACTGGCCTTTTTTGCAGTACTGACTGCAGAATGACAATTTCATAAGTAAAGACCTAATATCTAAGGCTAACACTCAACTGTTGCGTTCTCTATAATTAATCTGCGCAGCAGTCAAGTGACTAATATGTCATACATTAATTAACTCATCAATCACATACAAAATGGCGTAATATATCCCTTGCTGCGTATCAACGGGTAAACAAACCTTTCTTCATAGTTATATTGCAATAAGAAGCGAATGTCCTAATAATATTATAAATGCGAAAATTTATATGTTTCTGTTTGTTACTCCTTCGCGGCAAAATGGCTGAAGCGATGGGGATCAAATTTGGAACAGGGCGCTTTTTAGCCTACGTAAATATAGGCGAAGTCACTGGCAATATCTAGCAAATAATATCATAACAAATAACTTTGAACTTTTGGAAAAGCAACATATGTCCGCAATTTTTTAATCTAATATTTGTAAAAAGCAATCTAAATACACCTTTATTTTAATTATAAGCCTGCTATTAATAACAGGAGCGCAGTCGAAGTGAACCGCTGATGAATTCGCGCGCTTTTGTCGACGGCCATCTTATCAAAATGGCGGCCAACTGATTTATTACCGCCTTTTGTGTTGAAAGTGAGTCTTGAAGTCATGATTAATAATGTGAGACCTAGATTTCTTTGTAGCGTTTATTTTTAAGGTATTGTTGATGTAATGAATAATGTATTGTGAGGATA